CCTCTAACACTATGAGCTCAACAGCTACGGTCATTTCGCTCCTAAACACACACACACACACACACACACACTTTCATTCAAACATGAGGAGTATGCATCGACACAAACACACCCTCCTTTTCTCCCCAACCTCTGAACAACTGTTGCTTATAGGCGAAGATAAATGGACTGAAACTGTTTTTTTATGATGGGGGTCCTGATTCTTAATGTGATGAGAGGGGGGGACAAGACAGGACGGTCTTTAGGGTGATCCTGACTCCTCAGATCAGGAGAGAAGGCCCACCGCATCATCCTGAACAAAAAGCAGACTTCCAGGAAGCAGCTCGCCGGGAAGCAGGAAGCAGCGAAACATTAACAAGGAGGAAAATATTTGTGAAGTTTATTTTTGGGTTTCTTTTTTTTTTTAACCGTGTCTGTGTGCAGAAGAGGTGGAAGCTATAGTATGACTGTATGTTTGTACCTTCTTTTTCTTTTTTCAATCATATATGGTGTGGTTGTTTTCACTGAAAAGAAGCAAACTTGTGTGACTGCTTGGTTTTGCACTGTTTTTTTTTTCTTTTGGTTGGTTCGCGTTCTGTCCTGTGAGGCGCAGCTCTTTTCAGCTCCCATCACCTGCCCCAACCTCCAGGACCGAAGCCTGTAAAGACTAGTTTTCAGGAAGAAAAAAAACGACCCACTCCTCTTTTATTTTATTTTTACCACAAATTTCTTTTTCAAGCAATTCACTTTGTCATCCTCTCAGATTTCAGGCTTTTATCTTGAGTTTCTCCTAAAACTGTCTCTCCTGTTCCTTTCAGGGTGTGGTTAGGAGCGCGTTTTATTTGCCTTCATAGTTTTTCCATCAAACCCACTGCCAGCCTCTGCAAAACTCTACAACTAGCAGATGATCTCGTCTTTCTAAAAGAGTCCTTGCCAATGAGGGTGTGGTCAAAAAAAAATCTGGCTGTCTCTTGTTTACTGATTGACATGAAGAGTCAGATTATTTTTCCCCTCGTCGTAAGTGCCACTCGATCAGACTGACCCCCCCACCCCCACAGACGGGCGGCACTCGGGGCAAAGTGTTACAACAATGCTGGATTCCTGTTTGCTGTGTTTAACTGTTGATAAGAAAGAAACCTAGACRAWACTTTTTTTTAGCAGATTGTATTTTATTCTTTTGTTTGCTTTCAGTTTTGTATGGATTTTGTTGATCGACCCTCCCTCCTCACTAACTGTTTGAGATCTCCACCCACCCCAGAGCACGTCACAGATGTGCCTGGATGTTCCARGATACACTAATTGGGGAAAAAAATACTGCTTCAGCTGCTTTTCACCTTTTTTTAATACCTAAACAGTAAAATGAACAAGGTCAGATGCACTTCTTAATCAAAATGCTGCGGCGTGTGTGCGTACGAGTGGACGTCTGTGTGTGTGTGTGTGTGTGTGTGTGT